TGATTATTTAGCGTTCTTGATGCATAGCAAATTGGGTGTCCTTCTTGTGATATAAAAGCGCCAATTGCATAATTTGATGCATCAGTTGTTAATGTAAATTCTTTTTCGAAATTTGGATATCTTAAAATTGGGTGTGAACTAATTAATTGTTTGAGCTTAACAAAAGCTTCTATGTAAGAAGGGTCCTTAGTGTTGATTCTTACTCCCTTTTTTAAATATTTCGTAATTGGTTGTGCTATTTTGCGTAATCTTTGACAAATTTTCGGTAGTACCCTGTTATACCCAAAAAACTCTTTATTTTTTTTTCTGTTCTAGGTAGTTCTAACTCTTCTATAACTTTTATTTTATCTGGGTTAGGCTTCATACCCTCCTTCGTTAGTACGTGTCCTAACTCAGTTTCTCTCTTTAAAAAATTACATTTGTCCACTTGTATTTTTAAATTTTTTTTCTCTAGGACCTTAAAAATATCTTTTATTGCCTTTATGTGTTCCTGCAACGTTGTGCTGAAAATTAGAATGTCATCTAAGTAAACAACACACGTCTTGTTTATGAAATCTCGAAGAATTTCGTTCATAAGACGCTGGAAGGTTGCAGGTGCGTTCTTTAACCCAAATGGCATCCTTGTAAATTCATACAGACCATGAGGTGTAACGAACGCAGTTTTGCACCTGTCTTCCTCTTTAATTGTAATTTGATGATATCCCTTAGCAAGGTCTAGTGTCGTGAAATATTGGGCACGTCCCAATTTATCTAATATTGAATCAATATTAGGTAACGGATATTTATCATCGATTGTTACCTCGTTCAATTTTCTATAATCTACTACTATTCTGTACTTTCTTTTTCCGGAGTTATCGATTTTCTTTGGGATTACTAATAAGGGACTGGAGTACCTGGAATTACTTTTTCTTATAATACCTTGCTCCTCCATCTCTTTAATTTGCCTACGAACTTCCTCTTCATGTTGTGGTGGGTATCTGTATAATTTCGAGTTTATTTGCTCGTCCGTAGTGGTCCTAATTTCATGTTGAATTTCTGTGGTGCTCGTTAACTTTTCACTCTCTTTAAATAATAGTTTTTCAAATGTTTTTAGTAGTTTGGCTACTTCTTTATACTCTTCTGTATTTAAATGCTCTAACTGTATTCCTTTAATTTTATCTTTTGTCGCTTCCAACGCACAAATTTCTTTAAAATTAAAAGGGTTATTTACAAGTTTTGTTCCTTTTTCATGTAAAGTTATTTTTCCATCCACCAGATTTATCATGGTGTTCAAATGGTTTAATAAGTCAATACCTATTATAAAATTGTATTTTCTACCTCTTAGTGGTGTTGATTTCCATTTTATATACGCATTATCAGGTAAATTAAATTCCTTTGGTGCTCTAGTATGCACTTCATGAGTAATTTTCTCCTTACTATTTACTGTGCTGATTATTATTTCATCTTTAAGGGGTATTTTCCTAAAATCATTTAGTTCAGCGTCTACTAAACTTATGTTCGCCCCTGTATCCACTAAAACAATGTACTTTTTTTCGTCAATAGTTATTTCTATTCTCGGTAACCCGTCCGAGGCTTCCTTATAAAAAAAATTGCGTTATTTACTTCTTTATATTCTTCAGATTCTCTATTGCTTTGCCTAGGCGATTGCAAGCGATTTTGGCTGCTACTGTTGCTAGGGTGTCCTGCGATTCGAGATCTGTCTTGGTCAGTTTCTACGTTATCAATTTCTATTGGTTCGACCTGGTTTTGTCTAGGTTGATTCTGACGGTATTGACCGGAATTCTGTTTAGGGTTTCCAGTCGTTTGTTGTCGTTGAAAATTACCTGAATTCATCTGTCTATTATTGTTATTATATCTTCCGCTAAAATTCTGCTTATATTGCCCTGACACATTATATCTAGCATCATTTTGATTACCTTGATTATTTGCACCTGGTCCCGTGCTTTGATTCTTATCAAAATTGTTGTTGCATTTCTGACCTCTATCGGGATACTTATTATTCCATTTATCTGTGGAATTGTCCCCCTTTGTTTTAAACTTCCTATACTCTGGTCTAATGCAACTATCCTCAAATCTTCTACTCGTCATTATTTTTATTACATTGTTCAAGTTTCCTTCGTCATAAATCTTGTCTAGTAATACTCCTTGTGTCATCTCTTTTATTGTATTTACTAGTAAACTGTCCATATTGCTTAAGCCGATGTAGTGGTCACCCCTATAGTAAACCGTCAGTTCGTCCGCTTTATATTTAATATTTTGCACTTCTATCATTAATTCGTTAACTGAGCTTACCTTTAGGTTGGCTACCTTTCGATACAAGTGGTGAGGCTCGACGTCTGGTCGGTACCGTAATTTTAAAGTCTCCTTAATTAGCTGCCAATTGTCCGGCTGTGGGATGTTTATTATTACGTTTTTCGCCTGTCCTTGGATAGTCCTGTAGAAAATTGATCTAACCACCTCCTTCTGTAGTTCATTATTATTTATTGTGGATAATAAGTATTCTATGCTGCTGAAGAATGAGTTGACCGTTATTTCCCCCCGTTCCTGTGAAAATAGGTAAACTGTTCACAGTTTTCATAAGACTATGTCTGCTGCTCTTGTTGTCCTCCGTTCTGCTCCTTAGTTCTAGATAGGCTTGCCGCATTTGTTCTAGCTGCTGTTCTCTTCTTGCCAGCGCCTCCACTAAGTCTACGGCGGGTATTTGAATCTGTTCGTTAGCCATTCTCCTTTGGTCTAAGATTTGTTGTCTCTTTGAAGAAATCGTGCTGTTGAATTTAAATGCTTTGGTGTAACACTTTATTTACTTTGTGTTCACTTGCACAGCACTTTGAACGTTTTCTGTAAGTGGTGATTTCCGTTCTATATTCGGTGGAAACCACTGCACTTTATGTTGTTATTATGTATCCTGGACTGTTTTAACTATAAGGCGTTTACTGCACGTTTTGGTGGCTTCTGCTTATTCATTGAATAGCGTTCACTGCACTTTTTGTGGTATTTACTTTAGTTTTTTTTTCAATTTATGATTTATATTAATTATTCTTGTTATATCCTGGAGGGTCTGGTCAACGTCTTATCGTTGGCTACAGATTCGCAGGATTAAATTGGGAATTATTTGTACAGGATATTTTAAACGATTTTTTTTTCCGAACGCGGTTCGAATCACTGGATCCTTGTTCACGATATTTACTTTATTTCGGTTTACTTACAAGGATCCTACCGACTGCGCGATTCAAGTAATATCCGTGCGTCCGGGCGTTTTTAACAAATAGTTTTACGCGATTAACCAAAAGACAACAAGTGGGTTTGGGCTCTCGAATCAGACTGAGTTAAATTATTTATTCAATTTAAAATGAAGCTTATATTCTAGTTACAATATTTGCTTACTAATT